TTTTGGTTTTGGTTTGTTTTTTTTTTTTTCCTACTGCCTACTCAGACGCTGCTTCCCCTGTCCTGGGAATTTTCCCTCTGCAGCTCCTCCTCCCCCAGCTCCCAGACCATCCATTCTCCCCTTTTCAAACTGCACCCATTGTAAATGGCACTGAATATTAACACAGCCCATTGAGCACTTGCTTCTTTTGTATGGGACCCCTGCGTTTCAAATTGCAGTCGCTGCAGAGAGGAAAAGTCTCAAAGTGATTAAGTGCCGTGAAGTTTCTCAAAAGAGAGAGAAATATGCAGAGGAGGTCCTGGAGCTTTTCACTAGAAGCCAGGGGCTTCTGAGAGAGCCAGAATGGCTTCTAAAGTGGGGATATTTTTTTCTTTATTATCAGTCTCATATTTACTTTTAATCCTAGTCCGATGAGGCAATTTTTGCCCCGGCTGTGGCTCAGTGTGGGATGAAGATGAGGAGCTCACACAGCAGATGCAGAGGGCTTGCTGTTAACTGCTGCCCTGCTGTAGGAACTGATAAATAAATACTGCGGCGTGCTGAGGGTGGTCATCGAATCCACTGACACATGTTCGCACAGGAAGGGTGGATTTACTCGCAAGCACATGTATTTATTTGTGCTTAAGCAGCCGGCCCGGAGAGGCACAGCTTTGCGAGGAGGGGCTCTGCTGTTCCCCAGCAGGGCAGGCACTGCCATCCCGCAGGGCGCAGAGCCCTCCTGCAGCCCTGGGGACTGCCCGGAGCAGGGCCACTGCCAAGGACAGCGCTCCGGGAAACACCAGATCCCTGTGTCACTGCAAGCTCCCAGCACTGTCCCACCTGAACAGGAAAACCTCCTTGGAGCACCACCCAGCACGGAGCCGCTGGCCAGTGTTTGGGTTCCCAGTGTTGCCCCAGGAGGAGGGAGAGGGACCGGCCACCTGCAGCAAGGACATCCCTCTGCCAAGCCATCCTTGCAGCCCCCCGGGCACCGCTGAGCTCCACAGCTGCGCGGGGCCAGGAGCCCGGTGTGACCATTACTTAATCTTTGTTCCATTATTTCAGCGGGCCTGGAAGCGGGACATGCAGGAGAGGCACTGCCAGCAGCACTCCCCACTCCCAGCAGGAGAGTCCCCCACACCTCCTCCTCCTCTCCCTCCAGAGCCCCAGAGCAAGTAATGCCCTTCTCCCAAAAAATCCCATAAACCAGCATCAGCAGAGCCCCTTACCAAGCAAGCAAAGAAGCTACCCTAACATGTGAAAGCACAGATACAGGACCTGACACGTGAAAACGCCAGTTCAGCAAGAAATTTACAGGTAATTTTGAGCACAAACATTAAATTTCATTGAAAAAAATCTTTGTGTGTATGCACTTGAGCCCAGAAAGAGACTGCTCCTGACTCCTCGTTCAAATGCACTTCCAGACGCTGAAACCACTGACAGGCACACACAGGGCTTTAAAAAGCATTCAGACACTTTGCCCTGGTCTCTCCAGAGAGCAGCAGCACCGTGCAAAGAGCCAACACGCACGCAGCTGCTGCCTCGGGGCAGCTTATCCATACAGCCAAAGCCTGGAGCCTTGCTGGGAAACAGAGAGCAGCCCTTAGCCCAGCTCTCCTGGGTACTTGGGGATGCTGCCCTTTCCCAGACATGCCAGGCACATGCACACTGACCCAGAGGCAGAAGGGTCCATGCACAGATGGTCAATATCCCCCAAAATATCTCCTACTCATTTGGGTCAAAAATGCACAATACTTCTGTTTAAAATAACTTCTTTTTTTTTGCTGCAGACCATGCTAACAATGAATTAACTATCCAACCATAGCCTCATCGTCCCTAAATCTTCTCACCAAAAGGTGTACCTAAAATACTGTTGCTTCATCACTAAATAGAAAAGGAAAAAACCCTCCATCATACATGATGCCTAAAGAAAATATTTCTTCTGTGTTCCTCAAAAATCAAGATGCATGGAGAGATAGAAGCAGAGGATGCAGGAGATGTGCCACATCACCAACACTGCTGGAGCCCTGGTTTTTTTGGGGCACGAAGCGTTCTGTACTTAAGCTTAGCCCTAAACTTTATGTCACACGTAACACTACTGTAAAAACAAACTTCAGACTTAAACACCACAAGACACGAAGCACCTCCAAAGGGAGGCACTGCAAAGGAGCTCTGTGCACCCTTCCCAGGATGAGGAATCCTTCCCAGGATCAGGAACCCTCCCCAGCTGCAGCTGGGTGCTGGTTCAAGGACGGGATGTGTCATGGCAGTGTTGCAACGTGCCCTGTGCAGCAAGTCAAGAACACTTATATAACTGGTACACAGTGCTGAGCTGCCTGTTGCTTTTAACAAAAAAAAAAACCAACAAAAACAACCCTGAAAAACATCCATGCCACACTATACAAAATGTGAGCGACTGCAGCCCCTCTGCGTATCAGCTATTCCTTCTGAAAGCTTGGGAGAAAAATTACAACTCCGAGCTCTGCTGCCAGCAGAGAAATAACAATAGTTTCGAAAAGCCCCAGTGCTTTTCCTCGGTACTGATAGTCCTGTTGACAAAATACGCGGCGTGATTAAGTCTGTTCCAGAACCCTCCCCGGCTGCCGAGCCGCATTTCCAAGCCGACAAACAAAAGCTTTATCTCCAACACACTGAAAACCGACTCCAAGCACTGCCTCAGCATTGTGGCACTCGTTAGGAATAAAGATAAACTGCTAAGGAGGGGTTGTTCAATAGAGCCTTAATGAAGTTAAAGCACTGCCACCAGAGTCACTGGAAACTGGATTTTATCTCGTCTCCTATTAGCGATCGAACATGCCCGAGCTTATCACCGCGGGGAGCAAACACCTCCGGCGGGAGCCAGCCTGCCCAGCAGGACCGAGGTGAGGGATGCGCAGCTCCAGCATCGCCTGGCTCTCCCCAATTTATGGCTGGAGAACCCGCACCCCTGGGCTGCGCTCCCGCATCAGCCATGGACCACTGCAGACATTCACATTTGCCTTCTTTTTCTTTAAAAGGGCACATTAAAAAAAAATATACAAAATAGAAAAAGAAACAGAGATACTTGCACAGAGGTAACTTTTCGCTAGTGCATGGTGCTTTTATAGAGAGCATTAAACCAGTGAAGAAGTGAGTTATCAACTCTCTGCACAAAAAATGAACATTTACGATCCCACTAAGCCTGAAAAACATGCTTCATCCTTGTGCTTCTAAACTGAAAAAGGTTATTTTAAGTAATTTTTAATGATTAGAAACAGTATTACTCTAAAAACAAAAGTACTTGCAATAGTTTCAATGTCTTCTTGTTACACTAGCTATGGAGAGGAAAAAAGCCTTAATGTTGCATTTTCAAATACAGTAGGCATCATTTAACCAACTCTTGGTTAGTTTGTAATATACAAAGTTACAAACTGTATTCTACATGTCTAAAAGATCAACAACCCACGGGTCCACAGCAGAAGATTTATACGTGCTTACTTCACCAATAAAATTTGAACTAAACACAAGACACTCCAAAACCTGCTCCATTTGAAAAAGACACTCCTGGGTATTAGCACTCCGGAAAAAAACACATTACAATAAATTTGTTCTGTCTGGGTTATTAACGCGCTTCCCTGCCCAAACAAAGATACACTGTCCTATTTTAAGAGGCGCACGGGAATGCTGGAATTATTAAAAGCTTGCTCTGAAAGGTGAGGGAAAGATCCTTCAGAGCAACAGGTGAATGGGATGAGTCAGGGCTTTAATGCAGAGGCCACACGTTCCTCTCAATGAGACACGATAATTTAATGTAAAACAAGGCATTTCTGCAGCTAAAAGTGAATACCACCAGGAGAACCCGACAAACCTCTAATAATTCTTTTCAATAAGGAGCTGGATGATCTCCAGCAACACTTCAGTGACCGTCCTCTCTCCTGGCCGGGCCGAGGAGTATCTATTACAACCAGGGGTTTCAGAGATTCGATAATTTATGAATCTGTTCAAACAGCAGAAAGGCCCCGCAACAGAAGCGCTGTTTCCCTCTCCTTTTCTGGATACTGATTTTCCGAAGTTAACTAACAGTTCTGGGCACTTATTTTTACAAGTTTGTGAGCACACACAGATACGCTCAGTCCTCCTGGACTGTTAAATCACTCGAACTGTCAAATGCACACTTTTCCCCCCGAATCTCCTGAGCATCAAGTGTCTGATGTTTTATTTCGGCTTCCACGGCCACACAACGGGAGCGGACCCGGGAAATGGCAGAGACACCGTCCTGCGCTTGGACACGAACCTGAGCACTTTAAAACACCCTTCCAGGGATAAAAAAAAAACATCCCACGGGGCTGCAGGAACCACCAGGTGCGGGGTTTTGAGCTCAGCTGCCACCCAGGACATGCGATACACCGCAGCTTAATGCCTGCGCTACACAGCGAGCGCCGCGGGAGCGCAGCCAGCCGCGCCGCCTCGGCTGGAAAACACCTGGATTTTACCGAAACTCCCCAGAAGCCCTCGACTGCCTTTCTCTCCCTGAATTTCACAGCCTAAAAAGCCGGCAGCATTAAAAGCCAGCAGAGCGGGCGCGGCGCTGGGGTCCGGATTCGAGCGCGCCCCGCTCCGCAGCCCCGGCGCGGACGGACGGACAGATGGATGGACGGACGATGCCCTAATAAGGATTCGGAAGCCGAAGCTGGCCGTTATCTCCAGCAGATGCCATGGCTAAGAGACCAAACCCGCTCCCGGGACACCCGGAGGCCAGCCCCGCAAGGGACCGAGGAGCCCCGAGCCGCAGCTTGTCACCGGGGAGCAGCATCGCTCCCGCCGCCTCCATCCCCCCATCGGTGCGTGCCACAGGGGACACCGCATCACGGCACGAGTTCCGCACCGCGCAGCGCCTGCTTCACTTCAATAAACAACCCGGAGTTTCGCGGGGATTTTTATTTAAAGTTCTCCTTGACAACAAGCCAAACCGCGGCGCTTTGGCTGCCCGCACCCCCGCGCCTCGCCCCCGGCCCGTTCCCGCGGGTCCCCCCGGTACTCACACGTGCCGCGGCCAGCGGGGCAGGTCCCGGGGCAGGGCGGGCAGTGCCAGCCCGCCGCAGCTCAGCGTGTCCCCGCCGCAGGCGCAGCCCGCGGGGCAGCCGGCGGCGGCCGAGCGCAGCAGCCCCAGCAGCAGCAGCGCCGCCGCCGCCCGTGACGGCAGCGCCATTTTGTATCCGGCACCGGGGAACGTCCGCGGCGGGAGGAGGCGGCAGGAGCGCTCACGCCGCGGGCGCTCAGCGCCGCTCCGCCGCCCGCAGCATCGCCTCGGCCGCCGGCCCGGCGCGGCGCTACGGCACCGGCATCCACCGGGCAAAGCCGGGCGGGTCGAGTCCGCGTCCCCGCCGCAGGAAGCGCCTCCTACTGCTGCTCCTCCTGCCGCTCTGCGCCGCACGGCTCGGGCTCGGCGGGCGCCGGCCGGTCCCGGTGCGCTCCCGCGGGGTCGGAGCCGCCGCCGCTGCCGCCCGGCCCGAGCGCCGCTCGCCGCGGACCCACGTTGGCGACACCGCAACATGTAGCCGCGCCGCCCCCCGCGCGCCCGCCCATTGGCTGCCGGGCGGCCCCCTCCGCGCCGCCATTGGCCGGGAGCCCCCCCCGCCGCGGCGCCGCGCCGCTCCATTGGTGGCTGCGGCCCGTCAATCACGGGCGCAGGGGTCCGCCCCCGTTTCCCACTCCAGGTGTGAACGCGGGCGCCGCCGCCCCCCCGCGCTGCCCCTCTTAAAGGGGCCGCGCCCGCCGCTCGTCCCCGCGCTCCCAAGCCCTGCCTCCCCTAAATCCCAACAGCTGCGGGAACACCAGGGCCTGGGGGAGTCCCTGCATCCCGGGCTGTCCTTCTCCGGACGCCACGGAGTGGCCGTGGGGCTGGCTGCACGGGGCCGGTGGAGGGGGCAGCCAGCCCGGAGCAGGTCCCAGCCCGGCTCACGGGAGCACCGCGGGCACGGCTCGTTCTGGAGCATCCGTGCGCCCGGGGACCGCTCCGAGAGGCTGCTCCGAGCTCACCGGACGGCACCCGAGCCGCTCGGGTCGAGTTTGGATGCGGCCCAGCACAGCAGCTAGGGAAGGAAGCTCTTGGAGTGCTCAGCGCACCCACGGAGGGCGGGAGTGTGATTTAACCCCTTACGGCAGGAGTTACGTGGGTGTGGATGTTCGAGGGTCCCAGGATGAGGGAAGAGATGAGAATCTTGACTCCATGTTTCAGAAGGCTGATTATTATATTATATTGTATTATATACAGTATATATAATATATACTATATATAATATAGTATATTATGTATAATATATTTATTATATACATTATATTCTATTATATACTCTCTATAATATATTATATACTATATAATATATTATATTGTACATTATATAGTATAGAATATATACTATATTATATATAATATAGTATATCTATTATATATATATTATAGCTATACTAAAACTATCCTAAAAAGAATAGAGCAAAAGGACATATCAGAAAGCTAGAAAGAAAAGGGATGGAATGATGATAAAATCTTGTGACTGGTCACAGCTTCAACACAGGTGGCTGTCATTGGTCATCAAGTAAAAATAATTTCACGTGCTGAATAAATAATTCTCCAAATCACATTTCAAAGGAACAAAACATGGAGAAGCTGAAGCTTCTCAGCTTCTCACAAGAAAAAATCCTAGCAAAAGGATTTTTCATAAAATATGTCTGTGACATATGGGGAGAAAAGGAATATTTTAGAGAAAAACACACATCACAGGTGAATCCTGCTTCTACTACCTTTAATTAAATTTGCAACCTTCTGTTGCAGGTTCCTCCTGCGTGCAGGGACAGAGCAGGATTTCCTGCCCGTAACAGAACGGGGCATTGCACTGCAGGCTGCTCCAGTCATGCTGCTCACCATATAGATCTCTTCCCAAAAAACCAGGCTGCACAAGGGCAATGGCATTTCAGGCTGTTCAGAGCGGGATCAAGGCTGGATTGGTGTCGCCCAGAGGGTAGGTTCAGCTGAGCAAAATAAACAGGTATGATGGTGAATTTGCTGCTAAGCCCAACCAAATAAACTCCATTTGGCCCACAGGTTGTCAAAGTCCCCTATCAAAGCCTCTTCCCCACACAGGACATGGAGTTTTGGCAGCTCCATGAGTAGGATGAGGAGGATGAAGGCACATCTGTTCTCCACATGCATCAGTAAGAACCAGCAGCAAGAAAAGGCAGCACACTGGAGCATTATCAGCAACTGACAGAAGAGGAAGGCAGGTGACAAGCCAGCTTTTAGAGAGCTGAGCAATTTGGCTTTTGAGTGCCTGGGTTTCAGCATTCCTGCCCGTAGTCCCTGGGCAAAAATCTTGCAAGGTCTTTCTGGACCATCAGCATCAGTGATCACGGTGATGAAATGCTGCCTTGAGGGAAGGTGTGAGAGGGGACATATTTTTGGGAAGCTGTCACTCTGGGTGAGGACATTCTCACCCCCTGCCTATTCTCCTTTTCTTTCAGATTTCTTACAAATTGGTCAATGGAGCCATGAATTTTATTTGACACAATGCACAGGGACTTTTTAGCTTCTCAGCCAGCTGCCTGACACAGACAGCAGTCAAGTCTTCTGCTGGACCCAAAAGCACTTTTATGGAGAGGATTTCTCCTGCTCACTAGGGATGGTATCATAGGAATAAAGAGACCCTTTGCTTCTTTTAAAGTGTTTTCAGATTTGACAACCAGGCTTTTCAATTAATTTCATTCATGTCAGTATTTTTCAATATTAGGGCAAAGGGGTAAGTATGGGGTTTCTCATGGAGAGGGAGAGATCCAAAAAGCTTTAGATAACCTTAATAAAACAGAAAGCTAGAAGCAACTCTGCTGGAACCTGGGTCCAACCACCTCAGATGTGCACAAGATATCCTTGCACAGAGAGTAAGGGCAGCTGGAAGGAAATGAGGCTCTTCTCAGTTGTGCTCTCCCTCATCCCCAAGTCAATGCCTGTGCTGGAGTCTGTGTGCAGCATGGAGGATGTTTCTTCCTCAAACCTCATTAAATCTAATTAAATAGCTTATAAAAGTATTTATGAAAACAAATTTTAAAAGGGCAGAGGCATGCCAACACGGAAGATACTTCTAATTCTGCCGGTGTCTTTTTGTGGATTTGGAGTTGGTTCAGAAGTGCACACTTGGAAGGTAATTGCTGACAGCATGCAGAATCCATCAAGCTATAATTAACACTCTACTATTATTCTAATTGCCTCACTCAAGCTTCTGTGTTTTTTAATTGTAGAGCAATTTGCCAATAGAGAATTTAATTGCAATACATATTTTATACATTTTGGGACAAAGTACCATTATTTCCACTTCAGCAAAAACGTTCCTCAGTTTTTAATAGCTTGCTTTATTCCTTCCTGGGATTTTTCAGGTTTGTTTTTTTTTTTTTTTTACCTTATACAGGAATTTGATTGCAACCGCTTGTGAAATTAGCAATGATATAATATCCAGGAGTGCCTGGAGGCTTCAGTTTGGATCATGACTCTATTAAGCTAGGAACTGTACATACATGTATCAGACACAGCCCTGAGGAGCTTGAAATCTAAACAGAGAAGACAAACTGAGGTGAGAACAGAAGTATTATCCTGCTCTACAGCTGGGGAAGCAGCCCCAGATGATTCACCTTGGGTGACCCCTCGCTCCTGGGGCACAGCCAGGAACTCACACGAGCCCCGGGCACCCTTCACCTTCAACATGAGCTGAGTTTCTGCCTCCTGGTTCCTGCAAAACCATCTCCCTCTGGTTTGATTTGCAAGCTAGACCTTCCAATTAACTTCCAACCACCCAGGATCTGCCTTTCACAGATGTCTTGGCTTTCAGAGCAAGACCCAGCACTGAGGAGGAGCCCTGGTGATCTGCAGAGTCCCCAGAGGCGTCACACTGCATGGACAGCAATGGCAATGCTGGCAGGCTTTGGGAAGGATGCATTTGACTTCTCCTGGGGCAGGCTGAAGGTTTGGAGGCAGCAAAATAGAAAAGGATGGACCTTTGCTCTTTTTGGCCACCTTTGCATCTGACATTTTTCATTCACTTCGATTTGCAGGGCTACAGATCCTTCTGTAACAACATTTGTCTTCTTCTAATAACTTTCATGATGGCTTTACACCCAACACCAGTGGTGTTTGAGGTTTGCAAAATCACTGCTGCCATGGCTACAATCCCTTGTATTGTCAGCATGGGTGCACTGAGGTGCCAATCACGATCCAAATGCTTAAAAAAGTTTTCAGCAGGTGTGACAGAGTCACAGTCATTATTCAGCACAGCAACAGTCACATTAATACATCTCTAGCAGTGGCCTTTGGTATTAGATGCTCGTGATTTGGCTCCTGCCATCCCAGTTGCAAGAGATGGCTTCTCTGGTGTAACCAGATCAACCACAGCACCAGCATTCCAGAGGTTTATTATTTGTTCTGGTTACACCAGACCTGCAAGGACAATTTTATGGCTTGTTGCCACCCAGAGCTGGTGTCTTGTCTCTCTTGGATGCCAGCCCCCCTCCTCAGAGCTTGTTTTGTTGGTACAACCTGCAAGATGCATGACGTGATCCACAAGTGCCTGGGAGCAATGACTGCTGATAACATCACTTCTCTCTGCTGAAGTGGGGGGAGCCAATTCAGCCTAGCAGGAGGCAGAATATGACAGTGAGAATTAAAGGAAGAGATGATCAAGTCAAGCTTCAGTACAGGGTCACTAACAGTGCTGACATGAAAGTTTACCTTGGCCTCAAACTCTGAAATTTACCTTGCAATGACACAGAAACCTTTTCTTCCCTTGAAATTAGAGGCTGGTGCTTGAACTCTGGTCCTCCAGGAACATAAGGTCTTTGATCAAGACCAGATCATGCTTCCTTAATGTGAAAGTTCACTCGAGTAGCTGCTGTCATTTCATTTTTCACAGGCAATGAGTTAAATTGCTTTCTCAGCCCAGGACTGACACAGGCAGTTAGTAAAAAATGGTGCAAATAAGTAGATCCAATTAACTACATCCAAGTTCTGTCACAACTTTGCCACCTCAGATTCTTTTTTATCCCATACTGAAGGGCTTCTCATAAACCTGTTGTATAAATGTGTGTGTATTTATCTCATCTTTCTAAAAGCAGGCTATCAAAATAGCACAACAGCAGCTTCTTGTCAAGAAAGAAGGGAGAGAGAAAGAGACAGCACTAGAATATTACCTGTTGTTTGGATGGGCAAAATACATGATAGAAGTGAGGGTTTGAATGTAAACCTGTAGTACTCAAACCTGGAGATTACACTCAATTGCTTTAAAGATTTATTTTTTTTTTGTCCAGTAGACAAGGCAATGGACTGAGTCCAAGTGCAGGAAGAAAGCTGGTAGGCCTGAAGTCTGAACTCTGTCTGCTTGGATCACACATTTCAGCACATTGCACTAATCATGCTTGAACTCCAAAACCCAGAGATTTCCCCAAGCCCAGGGAAAGGTTTGGCCCCATGTGTGAGCTGGCAGGTTTTGGGCTTTGCTCTTCAG